GGACGCACTGGTTGTTGGGACGTTGTATGCATTATCATTTTTATGGAAACACATTATCATATAAATGGTAAAAAATAAATATATGATTATTCTTATCATTATCCTGCTATCTGTCTCTGACAAATTATATGACAGGCGAATGCCCTATGATGACAATACATGTTATATATTGACATATATGTCAGGGAGAGTGCATATTAATGTCTTTGTCCATAGTACTATATTATTGCACGGGCAATAACATAATATTGCCAGTAAATTCACTTTCAGTGTTTTGTTTAGTCTGCGCACACACAACGTTGGACAAAGAGTGCCATGTAAATCAAGTAGTTTAAGGCAATGGTTAACGGGAATGGTACTGTGACAATGAATGCATATACAGGACTAGCTCTAACAGATATCGATATCCATGAATGAACACTGGAGAGTTTAGAATAATGGTAATGAAGAATTTACTTATAAAGCATTATAACAGGACGAAGATAAGAATCACTGAAAAAATATATTGGAATTAATAACATGAAAAAGATTAATATTTGCTGTGTAACTATATATGCAAAAACTCACACTCTACATACATTAATATAACACACCAATAAAATGCGTTATACATAATATGGGCCTACTGCATCAGCTGTATGTATGGACGTGTTTTCTTTGAAAAAAAATGTAGATATCGAAAATGCTCTTACTCAGAATATGATATAATACACACACACACACACACACACACACACACACACACACACACACACACACACACACACACACACACACACACACACACACACATATATATCCACGACCCAGGCAAGAACCAATAGGTACCATACTTTCTGTCTCAGCACTGAAGCTGTTGGTTATTGATGCACTTTCATTCAAAAATAATTTTAAAAAATGATATTAATGATGAATGAGAGATAAACATGCAAACTTTCAAGTACAAATAACTCGTTTTGTTTTGTGAATGTGTAAAATTTATTCTATTTTGTTTTCCTGTAGCACGCAAATTTTGACTCATTTTAATACAGAAATGCAGTGGGAAAGATCTCTTCATCTTATATTTCCCCTTTGTTTTTTGATGAAGTGAGAAAATATAATGATTTTCTTTCTTTATGAAAATTCACAAATTAGGAAAGGTGAAAAATGAAATCAAGGTCGAGCTCAAAAAGGTAAACCGGAAATGAACAGGTTCGATAATGGCTTCCAGAGTTATCATCGGCAAACATGGCTCTGGGAAGTGAGAATACTTTTTTTTTTTTTTTTTTTTTTTTTTTTTTTAAATCAAACGAATGAAACTTACATTCTGCTACTGTCTAAATTTCGATTTTCTGATAGATATTTGCAATTGAGATTATGAACGGAAATGCATGATTTATTTTTTGTTTTTTGTTTTGCAGTTTCGTGCTTCCAATTTTAAGTTTTTCTTCTTTTTTAGATGACATTGGGAATAATTATACCAAAACAGAATAGATCTCTTCATCATCAGCCAAACAAAATTAGGGCATGTAGTCCAAATAAAGTTCTGAAAAGAAAAGAAATATGAAGTACGGAACTATTTATAGGTTTTGAGAAAAACGGTCAGTTTTGTGATTTTTTATCCCCCAAATAAACCAAATTTTAAAGTCCTTATTGCCTGACATGTACGAGCAAGATGGAGGGAAAACCCGAGCTTATGATAAATACAGCGGTTGGGTTATTCATCGCTCAGCTCAGGAAACACACACACACACACACACACACACACACACACACACACACACACACACACACACACACACACACACACACACACACACACACACACACACACACACATCCAATTACATTCAATAACATTCACACACATACACATAGACATACACATACATTTACACATGCACATTCACAATCCATCGTCTCTGACTTTGCAAGTAGATGGCGAAATATATTTAAGGTAAATTGGTTTAATTTAACAACATACCTGATATTACTAATAATATGCATTATATTAATATGGATTATAGAATACCCGTAGTTACTATCTGTAAAATGATTAATTAAATTATAATATCTCCCTCCCATTGCCAACTAGTATTTTTCACGGTCTTTAATCTCCGAGGTGCCAGCGAGGGGCGTTCAGTGGCAGCCGTGACGGGAGGCTACAGGGTGCCACGGTTTCTCGCTCGTTACATCAGTTAATATCATGGAATCCATTCGATCATCTTTTAGCTTCAATTGGCTGTCTGCTAAGTTCTTCACGACAGGATGGGATTTCTTTCTGAAGCAAGAAGCGTCAGTTTTAGCCTTCCTGTGTGGTCTGAGTGAGTTTAAGAAGTTTCAGTTTACGATAAGGAGGTATCAGTTTTATGTATTTGCTATGTCATACTGGTCTCTCTTTCTCTCTCTATGTCAGCCTTTTTCTCTCTGTGTCAGTCTTTCTCTTTCTCTTTGTCAGTCTTTTTCTCTCCCTATCTATCAATCTTTCTCTCTCTCTATCTCTCTCTGTCATTCTTTCTGTCTATCTCTCTGTCAGTCCCTCAGTTTGTCTCTCTTTGTCATATATATAGATAGGTAGATAGATAGATATAGATAGATATATATATATAGTATGTATACAGTATGTATGTGTTATACACACGCAGATATATACATATATATATGTATATGCATATATATATATGTATATACATACATATATATATATATATATATATATATATATATATATATATATATATATATATATATATATATATATCCGTTCTTGATTGTTGTAGTCCACTGTTACTTTCAGAATCACAGAAATCCTCCATTATTTGTTAACAAATTGGCTCATGATAGATGTTATAATACAGAAAAGCAGTTGAAATATTAGGTAAAACATATATGAATGTATGTAACTAGTAAAATTTACCTCAGAAATTTCAGTTCTGTCGTATAATACTTATCAGAAGTGCAAAGGAATTTTCTTTTGGTGCTTGTCTTCAGCTTGTATTTTTTCTTCTGCTGCTGAGTGTGAATATCTTTAATCTTAGCAGCTCTATTGTTTTATTAATTTTGTGGTGATGGTTTTTGTTGAATATTATTATTTATACTGTTAATATTATTCCTACTAGTCTTACTCTTACTCCTACTCCTACTCCTACTGCTACTGCTACTGCTACAACTACTTCGACTCCTAGTCTGACTCCTACACTGACTCCTACTCTTGCTCCTACTCTTGCTCCTACTCTTGCTCCTACTCCTACTCCTACTCCTACTTCTACTCTGATTCCGACTTCTACTCCTACTCCTAATACTCTGACTCCAACTGCGACTTCAACTTCTACTGCTACTTCTACTGTTACTGTTAATGTTACTGTTACTGTTACTGTTACTGTACCTCCTCCCTTACCACTATTACAGCTACTACTAATACTATTATAAGGGCTATCATTATCTTTCTTATGACTTTTGCCATCCTACGGATTAGCTTCACGATAACCTCCAGCATTTTTTCCCCAGTGGCTGTTGTTGACTACTTCCGAGGGAACTGCATCACATGTGCCATATTCCATGCCAGCCTAATCATCCTCGTTCGACGATTTCTGGCGGGGGGGATTTGCAATTCCACTCGACGCCTGGATGGCAAGATAGTTGTTATTACTGGTTGCAATGTGGGCATTGGGAGGGAGACTGCTAGAGACCTTAGTGGACGAGGTAAGTTTTTTATGGTAATATTACTCTTATTATTGAGGCTAGCATTGATATTATTAATATTGGTACTAGCATGGTTATTATTCTTATTATCATTTTTTCTTATTCTCCTTGTTATTAATGTTATTTATTAATTGATTATTTTATATTTGATGTTTTATACTCCAGTCTTTGTGAACAGGTTGTTATTTTCCTTTTCAATATATTATTATCAGTTATTTGGTTGAAAATAACTTATCTTGGATTGTTATTTCCTGTCATTTACATACAAAGTCTGGTAAGATTGTTTAGAAAATTTCAATTATTTGCTCTTTAGTAAATTTACAGGTACTTGTTAATTGAAGATTTTTATCCCCATCAGTAAAGATTTGAGCTGTAGATAATTTTCCTTCGTGGAACTCTCCCTTTTCCTCCTACAGTGGGTCTTCATTTTCTGTATACTAATATCTGTGACTTCTTCCAATGCAAATTTTGTTATGGTAAAAATTTTATTGCAAAAGAGGTGTACCAGATGTCAGGTTATCCATTTGCATAGGAGTGAAGCTTCCTTGCTCTGAATGTGTTCTGCTGTGTCATTCTGAGTGTCCACATCTATGAAATGGAAGAGGCAATATGAGTGTGTGAGAGTGAGTGGCAGTAAATGACAGCTAGTGAATGTATTTCGATATAATCAAAACCTGTCAAATACATCCCCTGTATTGTGAGGATATTCATTCTCATTCATACCTTTTATACATTTGTCAACATGAATATGGTTCAGAGAGAGAGAGAGAGAGAGAGAGAGAGAGAGAGAGAGAGAGAGAGAGAGAGAGAGAGAGAGAGAGAGAGAGAGAGAGAGAGAGAGAGAGAGAGAGAGAATAACAATAATAATGATAACAATAATAATAATAATAATAATAATAATAATAATAATAATAATAATAATAATAAAAATTCAGTTTGATTCCATTGATTTCAATGGATATTCTCAGTGTGACATGCTGTCTGTTTCATTTTGCTTCTGTGTGCTGTGTGGTGCAGTGGTAGCGATCTCGTCTAGCAATCTTGCTGACCTGCGTTCGAATCCCTCGCCACCAGTGGATGGTAATCCCGGCCATTCCTTGCACACAGGGGATAATTTAGAAGCAAAATAAAACAGACAATATGTCACACCAAGAATATCCATTGTAAGAAATGGAATCGAACTAAATTATTAATTATTATTATTTCTAAGTATGTCACACCAAGAATATCCATTGTAAGAAATGGAATCGAACTAAATTATTAATTATTATCATTTCTAAGTTATCCCCTGTGTGCAAGGAATAGCCGGTGTTACTGTC